TAAATAGAATAATGATCCTGTGGGGGCTCAAAATCTTGTTTCCCATTTTCTGTTGCTCCCTTTCAGTTGCTGAGACAAATACTGTTTCCAAAGACTAAATTTAAGACATGTAAAACACAGACAAGCAGGAGATAAGTTTAATAAGAAACATATGGAGGCAGAGAAAAGCATCCCGTTGAAAGGTCTTCCAGAAGAACAAGGTAGGGAAAAGACAAGGATGAAGCCCAAACTCCCAACAACAGAACGGGTAAATGTCCCACTACAGACCCCCCAGCTCTGTCACAAAGGGATGGAAGTATGTCCTTGCTATATCCTTTTGCTCTGAGATGACAGAAGCAGCTAATTGAGAATCTCTTGACTTTGGTCGTTTGCTGGGAACAGAATCATAACATTCTTTTATGACAGTTTGTGTTGGACAAATTTTCTCATGTTACTGGAAAAGAATAGTATGAACACACAGTCATTTCCACCTAGACCCAGGCTGATTTATGCTACTGTCTTCACAGTCTCAGGTTAAGTATTATACTGGTGCCCGCCAGCAGTGCAATACTTGACTGTCTGACTGTCAGCATTTCCATCATAAATTTCTGTTTTCAGAGGCTTATGACTTCGTTGTAAAATGTCGCTCAGGGGGTGAATCTTGCAAGGTCGTTTTAAGTTACAAGACAGCAAACAAAATAAAAAAGTTAGTGGTTTCTAACTCTTTCTTTGCACTTTATCATTTAAAAGGACCTATAAAACACTTGCTCCACTTTTCAGCTGAGTGTGGTACACGTATGTATGGTATTATTAATATTACTATCTCCATAGGGAGGATACTTAAATAATACTTGAATGGTATTTTACTGTGGGGCTATAAAATGCAATTTTTATTTCATTGATTCAGTGCTATCAGTAAGTCACTCCCCAGGGTATATCCCAATGCCTCCTTGCCCCCTTTTTCATGTCCCAAGGAGTTCTTCAATTAAACTCACAGTACCTCGGGCTTGGATTATGAAAATTGCTCAGCGAAATTATCTGATGGCTCCTAACTTTTCTTATTCCTCCCTCTTCACCTTTAAGGGCTTCATATCCATTTTCATGCTATGGAGTCCCACTGGTATTTGTCCTGGGATCCTGCCCCACCTGTCCCTCTCTGGAGTTTGCTTCTCCCTGAAAGTGCAGCTCCATGCCTGGGAATTTTCTTAGGAATGTACTGAGTCTACCAAAATTTGGTCCAGATTGCAACGCCAGATGGAAATATGAGGGTCTCAGAGATACATTCTCCCACAGACCTCCCCAGCACCCTGCTGTGATGCTGTGAGCCCCTTCCAGGGCAGCCTTTCAATGGAAATTTATCACCACAGGCATTGGAATATTTTACAGGTATCACACAAAGTCTTTGGGGCAGGTTTGCGATTTCCAGTTTCATCTGAGATATCCAATTATAAAGCGATTTCCTGTGTAAGATGTAGGATGTGACAGATCATTCTTTCGACTGAAAGTAGGAATGATCCTCATAGTATCTTAGCCTGCACTGCTGTCCCAGATGATGGATTTGCTCAAGCTGAATTTATAGCACCTTTTCAACTCCCTTCAATTAAACCCTTGATTAAGGAAGAACAAAGCATTTCCCCTCTTCACAAATGCATCCTTGAACTGCCTGGATGTTCTCTGTTCCCTGGTACTTCTGACACTTCTTTGCCTCCAAAGTAGCATCATCAGTGATCCTCAGATATCTCCCTCTAAATATCTCCCTTTCGTTTAGCAAAACAGCACAGCTGCTTTGGCTCCACTTTGATTGCGTTACTTCTTTACCTTCTCCCAACTTAACATCTGGAACTCACCCTTTACGGGCCTGTGGAAAGCCAGGTTCTTCCAGCACATACAGTTACCTCTTCATAAGTGACAACGCATCTCCACGATGAAGTTAAATATTTCCCTTCATGCTCTCAGTACCTTCTCCTACCGAGTAATTCCAGCCTCCCTTGAAGACCTTCTCACTTACTCACTACCTCTGATCTGCTTTTTACTCTCACCCACAACACTGGTAATGTCCTGCTTGCAAAACTCAAATCATAAGAAATCAGCTTTAAAATTATATTTTGAAAAAAGTCTTCAAATCCAGTTTCTGTGGCTTTTTTTCCTTTGCCTTTTTTTTTTTTTTGAGGATGAAGGACTATGCTTTTATTCTAAGCTCTGAGGAATCCACTTACACTTTTTAAATGAAAGATCAGATGCTGAAGTCATTAGATGACTCTCAGCAACAGGGATTTAAGAGAAACACCTACAATTTTAAGTCTTAGGATGAAACCCTGTGTGAGAGCAAAACTGCGTCATTCCCTCTTTCGACATGCAATCTTATGACAGGCTGAACTCAAAGCTTCTCATCCGCACTGTCTCCTTTTTCCAATTCCTCACTTCTAGTAAGTATTTCTTCCCCCTCCTCCTCCTCCTAATTTCTCTCTCTGCTATACGATAGGCTGTGTTTAGTCCCAGCTTCTGCTTGCCGGTGTCAGCAGAAACCCATGCTGCCAAAAGACAACAGCAACAGGAGCCCTGCAGAACGCCAGCTCCCACAGAGAGCCTGGAGCCAGGTAGCACCAGCTTTGAAGTACAAAGCACAGGCAAGGGGCGAGGCAGAGGTGGGTATCCAGAGGTTACGGCAATTCCCTTTCAACTGGATGGACTTCTGTAGAGCCACAGTTGGAGTCTAAAGCTTCCCTTCCCCGGCCCCTTGCTCATAATTCTCCTCCCCAAAATCTCCCCTGGGGCGTACCTAGGCACAATTGGGTTCAAGCCACAGTGAAATGCTCTGGAAAGTTTTGGGAAAATCTGTTCAGTTGCTTTTGAGGGACGCAAAAGAGAGGAAATATTTTCACAGCTTAAAAAAGAGAGCTAGCTTTGTACGCGCATACTTTAAAAAAACGCTGAACTCTAATGTGGCTAGACACTACTCAAGATAATTTTGACCCAAGAACATTTGAAGTTACTGGGGTTATAAATGATTAAGTAGCCACCTGCAGTACTGTGAAACTGCTAATCATACCCATTTAGGAGGAAAATCTGACAATAGCTGTCTACCATAAGTCTTCACTTCCGATTGCTTTTTGAATATACTTATTTTGAGATTGACTATTCACATAATTGGGCAGAATCACAAAGTGATTTTTAATCATCACAGAGCTTAATTAATAACTTTGAAATATCAAATTTCAAAATTGCTGGATGCTGCTTCATTTTAGTGTATGCAAAGTTAACTTTTTGTCCTGTGCTTTTGTAACTTGGTTAAGAGCTATGCTAAACAGCATGGGGCATTTCCACAAGCAGGCAAGACATACTGTGATAAAAGGCCCCAGGTCAGAAGGTATAATAGCCAGGATCACCACACGGGTTGCTGATGTGAACTTCTGAAATCTTATCTGGACTGAAATACAGCTGCCATCCCCTAGCTGGACTGTATTTATACCTGCTCAGCGTGTTCTCACACTGTAGGTAAACTAGAACGAAACTTTCATGACTACAAGTAAAGCTAAACAAATTCATCTATTTGGATTGACATGCAGGTAAAAGATACCGAATAGCACTTTATTACAAAAAGAAGGTCAGGTGGTCATGTAATTAAAGCTTGTCTTGATAATTCTGCAAAGACAAGAATCAGCATTCAACTGCAGTTCTAAATTCCTGGATTAACTCTGGCCTTATTCAAGTCAATGGGAGATCTGCTGTATACTTCGATGGAGCAAACATTTTACCCCTCTGTCATTTGCATGGTGCAGTACACAACCTTCATGTTAGATCACTAAAGGTTTCTTGAAATATGTTACATAATTAAATACATTTCCACAAACAAAGTCTATTTTTTAAAATGCAAATTTATCCATGAGTTACACTAATCTATAATTAGTGAGCTAGAAAAATTCACGTTATTATCTGCAAGAAATCCTAAGGAACAGTGTGTCATCTTTCAGCCTAAACGTTTTGCCTTTTTTCCATTTGAATTCAGACAATATTATCTTAACATTCTTAGCGCATGATGATCTTTCACATCAAGGACAAGGGTAACACTACAATGTCACTTATCTTGCAAGCTACCTTTTTATCATACAGCACCTGATTTCGCTCAGTGGTGTTATGATGCCGACAGAAGTGCCATGATATATCAAGATATGGTATATTTCAAAGAAATTCACAAGATGACTAAGTCATTTCACCTCTTCTACAAAGCACAGCGTTATGAATATTCTGTAGAAACAATGATTTGGGATTTTTTTTTCCTGTTCTTTTGAAGCAGAAGACTGATTTACAGCACAATTGCAAATTTCTCTTCTTTGCTTTTTCAATACCTTTCTATATATAGCTCTCTATTCATTGGCTTTTCAAAAGAAAACTATTTGATTTAAGAATGTTTCAAGTTGAAGAGATACTATGTAAATATTCCCTGACAGTAAACATGGAAACTTGTCTATCTGTACTGATAATGAACTACATGGTAATAATATGTTGCCCATTCTGTCTAAAATATCTGACTATTCTGACAGGGCTTGTTATATGCAAATATTTCTTCTTAAGCTCTTCTCACAGGCTTGAGTTCCCTGCAGCTTTCAAGGAAGCCACGTTTCTTCAGCTATAGTTCCTCTCCTTTGCTCTTCCAACTGCTAAATTTACTTTTTCCTGTTGCAAAATCTTTGGTAAACATTTAAACAGTTTCTTCACCAAGTGTATGCTTTTGGCTGTAGGACATTTATTATTATCCAGACTTGATACGATAGCTCACTATTCCTAGCGATTGTTATTTACATACACACACATACAATGAACTACTTTTTAGAGCAATGAAATGAACATCTTTCTGCATTGGTATTCCTCAGCTTGGTGGAAAGAACAGACACACAACCTGATACAAGGTGCTGCTCGGCATTTTCCATAGCTATGAGGCTTCAGAGTTACGTAAGAGACAGCATTTGCAAAGGATCAAAGCCAAAAAATGTGCACGAATCAAAAAACAGTAAAGGTTTCACCTGGCAAAGCCGACTCCTCTGCTGACTCCATTAGCATCCCTTAATATTCTGGTGGAAATGACATGTCCAAAGGGTTTCAGCATATTCTCCAGTTCCTGCTCATCCATGGAAACAGGTAAATTTGAGATGTATAGATTTGTGGGATCTTGCTCTTGTTGCTATGACAAAATAAGAGAAATATCCTCAGTTAGGCTTAGCACAATAGAATAGCTTATGGCTCATACAATGAAGGCTACTCAAAATAGGACCAAGCCAAGAACTTATAGCTGCATTAGAAGCAAAGCTGGGCAATCTGTTCACAACGACAACATATTTGCCAAATTTCTGCAAAATCTCATGCATGTGCTTAATTCTGTGCGTGACTGCTCTTACTGAACTCAGTGACACTACTCATTTATAGAAAATTACTCTCATGCACAAGTGTTCTTGGGTTTGTGTCCTAATTTAGCAAACAGATTGTGAAAAAAACATGATTTCCACAAATGTGCTCACTGTTAACATAAATAAAAAAAGAAAACTCAACACATGTTTTAAGCAGATGTGCTTTCCAGCCTGCAGATTTCCCATTCAACCTGTTCATCATGAGCAAGGTTGGTTGAAAACACAGAATACTTTCCATAGTATCTTTTCTTTATTTTACCCATCAGAAATGTCTTGGTTGATAATGTGCAACAAGAGCTAACTAGGCGGGGAGAGTTCTGCAGTTCAGTCTAAGGTCCTGGTGAGATAGGTCACATGTTTATGCTCAGACTGAATTAAAATATCTTACAAAATAAAGCTTGCAGTATGAATAATCGAGACAACAAATTTGAAGACAGCTTTCTCATTCTATTTTTGATTTTTAGGCTAAACTTTCCATTTTGGCAACCATTCCAATTTCTGTTCTTACTTGCCAAACTACTGCAAAGAAATGTGAAAGAGGCATAGATGCCGTATGTAAAATAAGTGTATTAAAGCAGTAAATAAAAACCTTGCCTACAGACAACCAGGTCTTGATTACATTAAATCAATTTAGTTAAGCCCTTGCAAATTTTCATGGCTCTGGTTCCATTTTCATTGATACAAGTTTTACATAGTACCTGATCACCTGTCAGTACAAGCCTTGATTGGGATCAGGCATGACTACATAATTTTAGCTAACGCTTAATAACCAAAAATATAAGATACAATCTTTATGCTGTGCAGTAAGCCAGACAATACCTTACCTGACAAAGTCTTCTGAGACAGATTTTTGGATTCTTTTTCATTACACATTTTAATGGGCAGAATTAATTTGTACTTGTTCAACACTGAGATTTATATGACAACAGTATTATCTTTTTTTGCTATGAGGTGTCCTAAAACCAGATTAATAATCTTGCAGCAGCACCACAACCTTACACTGAAGAAATTACACACAGCCCTGCAGCCATCTGCCCTGGTTTAACTAAACTAGTTTCAAATTACACTCCATTAAAATCAGTGCAGATGTGTCTTGTCAAACACAAAGAATCACATGTCTTATTTCTAGAAGATGTATGAAGACAGGACAGAACCAAGATGTCTGCTCCATCACTGCCTTGCACATTGAAGGCCTCGAAAATGGAAGCAGAAATAATTTCAAGCTGTGATTCACACACCCCATCTTTACAGGGACAAGAATGACTAAACAAAGTCTAGCTTAGCTAAAAGCCAAAGAAAGTTTTCAGCTTCCCTTATCCGAGGCTCAAGGGAAATTTTAGCCCTTTTGGATGAGAAGAAAAGCTGCAAATGGATACCCCAAAGGGTCTAAAATCAGGAGGCGTGTAATACTGTTTTACTGCATAATTTGGATTCTGACCTAAGAGCTGTGAACACTTGCCTTCGGACATAGCTGCTTAATGCCTACTGCATTCTAGCTTTGCATCTCCAGACCCATCACCCCACGAAACAACACATTACCAGGCAGGCTGAATTCCCCATTATTTTACAAAACAGAAATAAAAAGAACAAAGTAGGCACATTTTCGAGCTGCTGTCCATAAAAATACACCCAGTTATTACCACACCTTATAGTAAGGGGCAGAGGAAAGGAAAACCACACACACACGAACAGCAAACTTACTGCAAATTGAACTGAAGTTACAAACCCCAAATCTAGAAAAAGATTCTTTCCCTTTCCAGTCATCTTTCCCTGCAGTCATCTTCCTTTCTCTTGCTTCAGTTTACATTCATACAGATCCGAAAGCTAGTTCCTCTCCAATAACCAAAAGATATTAGTAAGGGGTCAGAACTGGTACAGTATCGACAATGCGAGGAAAATCATGCACACAGTCCTGGAGGGAAGGTAGGCAAGAAAAGAGAGGAATATGAGCTTCAGATCACACTTTTAGCTTTGGGAAAAACAAACAAACAAAAACCTGAAACATTTTCTTTCTCCTTTATTTTTTTTCCACATTTTTCCCCTTTTCTGTGTGGAAGCTATTTAAGTTTTATTGCTTGTTACTTTTTTTTTTTCCCCATGCAGGCCACAGAAAAAAAAGAAAGATACAGGAGATTAGGAAGCACCTTCATTGTTACTAAGTACTTTGAAATGTGAGCAACGGAGGCAGTTAAAGCAGAGGCATTATAGAAGCAAATCAAAGTAGAAAGGTTTGCAATTCCAATAGGCACAGTTTTTCAGAAATAATTACATTGTTATGCAAACCTCTAGCCATTGATTGGTTAAGGACTTTGATTAATCAACCAATCAGTGCTCAGGGACTGACATCCCTTGTCAATATTTAGAAAAAAATCTAACAGTCTTATGCAGATGAGATTCCCATAGCCAAAGGACAGACTAATATGAAAAAAGCAGTTATGCATCAGTAACTGCACAACAGCCTTTGCTTTCACTGAAGCAATTCAGTCCTGCAGAATATTAAAATGAGAACTTTTCTTTTGACTATTCAGTTTTCAAGCTGGGGCAAACAAATAAAATAAATAAGAACCACCGCCAATGTGTCTCACTTCTGGAGTAGGAACACATAAGCCTTTTAACTGTGTTAAGAGATTAAATGCCGTTGTTTTAAATATCCATGGAAATTTTAGCTACACTCAGAGGATGAATGAAAGACTAGCAGGCCATAGTCACTCTCTCACAAGGATTTACCAAGCCTATCTTTTATCAACATGATAAACAAGAGCTGCAATCAGGGAGAGACGGATGAGGCCACTCATACTACCTCCACAATGCAACAGTGTTTTCTAAGAAAGGAAAAAAACTCATGTTATTTTTCCTTACTCTATAAATATAACAGTTAGAGAAATATCCTTTTCCTTTACAGAGAAATATCACCCCACAGAAGCCATATCTCACACCACAAACTGAAACAAGATGAAATGCCTTCGCAGCAACGAAGCCTGGAGCCGAGCAGGCATTACAGGAGGGGTGCGGAGCAGGGCTGCCCGGCCACCATGAAGCCAGACCTCATGGCCACCTACCCTCACAAGCCCCCGTTTCTCAGGCTTGGCCCCCGCTCCCAGCCTCTGGCACTGGGGCTCATGATATTTTTCAGTTGTGCAGAGATCCCCTGTGCAGTGTGGAGGTGATGACACATGCTCCTCATTTTGCCTGAGCCTTTTCATCCCAGATTCGCCAAGCTCCTGCGTGACGTATTCACTTCCCTAGCCCCAGTGTAACTGCCGAGCTTTTCAGTTCAAAAGGCAGGCGTCCTACTGTTCAAAATGTGCCTATTTGTTGACAAGGTAAGCCTAACCAGAACCATAAGTCCAAGCACCCCACAAACTACTAGCCTTTCATAATCCCAACTAGTTGACAGTCAGGTTTCTGCCTTCAGTGAAGGATCACATCCCAAGGCTCCAGGAATGGTGGTGACTGTGGCATCGGGATCTACACAGTGTGGCCCAGGCCCTCTCTGGTTCATTTAATTCTTTCTACAGCTTTTCACTAGACATTAAAAAATGCTATTTACCACCTTGGGATGCTAAAATCCCATTTATTATTGTGTCCCATCCCAAACTAACCCGTCATCAGTAAGAGAGCTAAAAGTCATTCGTGTGATACTCACAGTCACTTCAGAACTGTGTTCTCTTATGTCCCCAGTATTTTGGACAAGGACCAGAAGGGGTCAAGGCAACTCAAAGCCACACACTCCCCGCAAACACCTCCAAGAGCACCGTGCCTCGGCTGCTCCGCAGCTGCCGACTTAGAGCCACCGCAGCAGGGCCACCAGCCAAGCAGAGCCCCCACTGCCACCTGGGCTTTGTGGTCCCTGTCCCGCTTTCCCCCTCCAGACCACACCAGAGACACCAGGCTCGTCCCGCACTGCAGGGGAACGCCATGCCTGTTGACACAGTCTTCCCAAAGCACAGCGGCCTCTCAGGTTTAATCCCCCATGTGTGAGAAGGGCCCCCCGTGAGTCCAGGACTGGCCGCTGCAGCTGGCTGCTGCTCCGGGGGCTTGGAGGAGGAGGGGGCTGCCGGGAGCGGCGGAGGGCTAGCTGCAGTGTGGAGGCATGGCTCCTCTGTCTTTCCCAGCCCCCGTGTGCCAAATGCAGCTAATTAATGGGTGCAAGACCAGGCCACGTTGCTGCTTCTTGAACGGAAGGCAGCTGTGGAGCCTGCTGTGTGTGCCAGCTGCGAAAGCATCATGCTCAAGGCATGCAAACTTGCATGTCTCAAGGCACCATCAAAAGCCTGCTCCTGGCTGTCCTTGCTGAAGTTCGTTTTACCCCAAATCTCCCATTTGACAGTCTAAGGAGGGTCACATTTTCCAAGTACAGCTTGGACTTGTGCGGCAGCCCCAGAGAAACAGGGGTGAACTCATCCAGTCAGATCCAACCCTCTGCATCCCTGACACAGCCTCACACCTTAGACTGAGCTTATTCCGGGGTCCTGGTGTGTGCCCGTCTGCGTGGGTACACTGAGTGCCACAGAATGGGCCAACAACAAAAAAAAAGAAATTAAGCCAATTGAAGCTCCTCTCCAGACAAGTGCAGGGCTTTTTGCAACTCTCTCTGCTCCCACCCCAGCCTGTTTCACCACCATTGTATCCCAAATACCTCAGTTGCTGTGGCCTGTGGGCTCCAGGGGCATTAGCTGCATGCATCCATTGTAGTTGGGCCATTCTGGTTGGGGGGTGTGCATGACAGACACTCCCAAACTGGCCAAAACCACAGCTAGGAAGGTTTAAAATTGTG